CTTTTGCGTCTGGCGCTTTGCTGGCAAATTTATAAATGTCACGCAAAGCTACAAAGTTTTATCTGGCATCAGCTTTAGGGATTATAACCCTTACTAAGCAGAATTCTCCTTTCTGTATTGCCGGAGAAGAGGGGCTTCCGCATGTTAAAGGTATTCAACACTACTTGTGCACATCACTCCGGCTACGCCATCCACAATATTTTTGCGCAGAACCCATATCGAAATTTGGAAAAAAGTGCATAGTGCAAACCGAATTTATTAACAAGATAGTGCTCGGAAATTTGAAACATTTATTTTAAATAAAATTTTAATTCTTTGATTACACGTGATGCTAAAGTTTTTGGATTCGGATTATGCGTTTGGACACAACAACCGAAAATCATTGTACAAATAACTAAGCCGGACCCAAGTTTCTCGATAAGGGGCAGCACAGATTCTTTTTTGCTTGTTTATATAAAGCAGTGGATAAAGATATACACATATGCGAAGGGCAAATTTATCTGTTTAAATGAACGCCACTAATATTTCCTGCAAACGCACATCGATTTACATATTTTATCTCGCCTCCGACACAGAATTATTTTCGTACAAAATTACGCAAAAAAGCTTACTCGTTCGTTTTTAGGCATGGCATTGCTACGAATTTCGAAAGTTCGAAAATACGATTCGGATTGCAGCATACTATTTCTACGATTCGTAGTAAAATCCGAATACGAAAAAGTTGCAGAATAGGGGTGTTAATCTAAGTTTAAACTGGCACTGAAAACTGGCCCTAAGACTTAAACTTATAATAAAGTAAAGTGATAATAAAAAGTACAGACAATTAAAGCAATACAGTGGTTATACATATTAACTAGATTTGTTATTTACATAACGAAACTCATAATTATACAACATAAATTTATTTTCACGAAAGTGCGCATATAGAGCATTCTTAAAGTTGCTTTTATTTAGACTACTGCGAGTTGTCATTATAATAAAGTTCCATGTACGAATCGCATTGACAAAGAATAGCCGTGCGGAGCTTAGTAATTAAAATTTGGTACTATCAAATTATTAATTCGAGCTGATTTTTAATTTGAATTTTTATAAATTTTTTTTTTGTATGCTTATAAAATTTTAGTAAAATAAATGCAAGTTTTTAGCGGCTAAAAAATCGAATTGATTTTAACACCGTGGAGGAAAAATAAATTGGGACACGACATTTTAACAAATGTCTTTTTTTTCTTTTGTTTATTTAATATTTATTATTTTTTATAAAAGTATAGCTCATTATCTAACAATAACAAAAACCATATTCCAAACATATATTCCAAAACATGTGCAAAAATTATAAAAATTCTGCAAACTTGCATCTAAATTTTCCACTTTATAATCAAATTTTTTAGAATATGCAGTTTTAGCGCCCATTAAATTTTAGTAGAATGAAGTGTAAGTTTTAAGTTCCTAAAAACTCGCCTTGATTTTTGGCAATTTTTTGAACGCATTTTCTGCTATACAAGGTGTGGATGCCTTCCAAGCCGCACTAAAAGAAAAAGTCTAACTTGCGCAACCTATTAGGAAAGTAACATCTAACCGTGGTTACGCACATTTGGCTTTACAATCTACTGAGGTTTAGAAATAAAACGGTATAGAAAGAAGTGCGTAATACATTCAGAATAAAAATTATCGAAAATCAATGCAATTTTTGGGAAATTCAAACTTTCACTTTATAAAACTATGCCATAAAACTGCATACTCAAAAAAATGCTAAAAAATCAGATTAAAAAGTTAAAAATTTAGATGCAATTTTGCAGAATCTTTATAATTTTTGCACAAGGTTTGAAAATATGAATTTATATGGTTTTTGTTAGATAATGAGCTATACTTTTATAAAAAATAATAAATACTAAATAAATAAACGAAAAATAGGAAAAATTTGTTAAAATGTCGTGTCCTTATTAATTTTTCCACCACTGTATTTATTTATTTATTTTTTGCTGAGGACTTTGAGGTTTTTTCATATGAATAGAGAAGTTTAGGAAAACTGGTTGACTTTTTTCGCAAACGGTCTTGCCCATATTCTTCCACAAGAAATTCATGTTTACATGCAAAATTGTGCAAAACGCCGCTAACAAAAAAATATTAAAAATCAATGCTATTTTTAGCGGCTAAAAACTTGCACTTATTTTACTAAAATTTTATAAGCCTTGCATACTGCATACCCGGAAGTTTTATTAAAATTCTGGATTAATAAGTTAAAAATTTTTGGAATTTTTCTAAATTCTGAAGTCTGAAAGTTTTATTTATTTGGTTTTTGGTAAAGCATTAACCATATTTTTATACAAAAACTAAAAAAAAATTTGATTGAGAAACCTTCTAAATATTAAAAGCAAAGCATATTCATCCACTTTTGACCGCCAGTGTATACATTTTTATAACGTGTTTCCATGAACACTGTGTGTTAAAAAATTTACTGCAAAAAAAAAGTATAGATACGAGCGTTAAATATACATTCCAAATATGAACCCTATCGGACCATAAATACGGGGTTTTCAAATATCTTGACATCTGAGCCTCCTAACGGTTAGTTCATTTGGAGATATAATTAAATCGTTGCAGCTCACGTAAATCTTATTTTTCTGAAATATTTTGTCGGAAATTTTAATATATAATCTGCCTTATCCTGAGTTTCGCCCGAAAAAAACTCAACCCAAAATGTTTCATCACCCCATAGTAAATACATGGAAACGAAAAGTTAAAAGTGAACCGGTTCGGGGAAAATGAAACTCATGATAAGACTGAATAAATTTTACAAATCGGGTTTCTCTTAAGCCCTACCAAACATCTTGTTTGATGAATACTTTCCGCACAAACTCGGGTATATATGTATAAAAAGAAAACTTGAACAAACGAACCTTAGCCTTAAAAAGTTCTACTTGACCCTTCAGAGTGGCGGACTTTTTTGCATCTTCTTCGCATTGCATTATTTGCTGAACATAATCGGCACTTCGTTCTTCTAAAATTTTAATATGCTTCTTCAAATCATTGTATTCCTCCAGCCTTTTTTTGTATGTTTCCAATTGAATCTCACATTCTTTTAATTTATCGTTTGATTCGCGTAGATCATCCACCTCATCTTTTAGTTGAATTAATTCAGATGTACTTTTCTAAAAATCACTAATTAGTAAGCAATTGCGTTCATACATACTTTAGGAGGAAATTACTGTTAATTCATCAATTCGCTGTTGCAAGGTTTGTGTTTCTTTTTCTTGCTGTTGCACTTTTAGTTTTAAATCTTCTCGTGAGGCATCTGATTGTAAGAGTTCCTCTTTCATTCGATCAAGCTGTCGCCGAAGTTCAGAATAACGTGCCGAGCCTGCTTGTACTGGTCCAAGTGAAACACCGTCATCTCCGATTTCAGCACATGTAGATTCTAAGCGTTGAATTTCAAGCTGTAATTTAGCAAGCTCCTGCTGCATGATAGACTTTTCTTCAATCAGTAGCAACATCTAAAATAAAACACAAGTTATTTTAAATAAACATCGAAAACCCATAATCTCTTTACTTTCTTTTCAGTCTCGAAACACTTCTGGGCAAAAGCGTCTCTTTCTTCTTGTAATATTTTATAATCAAAATTTGCAATGCTCATGCAATCTCGTTGCCAAGTGGATTCAAGATCTTGCAATGCACGCATTATATTAGCTTGCAGGGATTCTTCTAAGCCCATTATTTGTCGAATGTAATCTTGTTTGGCAACACAGTTCACTGCACAACCTAGCACAAGCTGTAGAAGACGTTCCAGTTCGCCAACGTCACACTTTTCGGCAATGCGTTGTGCATCAGGACGTGGGAAATCCGCAAGTGAATAACTTAACACGTCACTGTAATAATCATAAACACCTTCAATCACCTTCTTCAAATTACTCATTTTTAAGCGCCAGTTGACCCCTGTGTTAATTTTAGACAACCACGAATCTACAAATCATATTAAAAAATTTCGTTAATTTTCTTTTTTTTCTTGGAACACATCTAGATAACCAACCGTTCAGCTATGGAAAACCTAAAAATGCAGATCGATTGTACTTTTTACGCTGATTTCAATTATATAAATATTATTTGTCTATATTGAAAAGGAGGATAAATAAAATTTTTGGATATTTTAAAGTATTAATATTTTCTAAACTACATAACCGATGTATAAAATGTATATACTTGTTTATATATTTAAGCCAAAAATATTAAAAAACGAAAAATATATCATAATTTTTTCATAAAATAACCATTTAAAAAGAAATACATACATAATGTTTAAGATATTTATATTATTTAGAAAGTGCAAGTTTTTACCTTTAATTTCGTATACTTATTTCTGCGTAGGCGGCCTTCGGCCCTCCCCAGTGAATGCCCGACATGTGGAGACTCCCCGCGCGACACCAACCACCTCTTCACATGCCAGCTCTATCCTACTCCCTTTGGTCCGACCCTATTGAAACAGCCCGTTTCCTGGGCCTGCCGTTGGTTGAGCTTGACGACAGTGATTGTAGGATGAACCGAAATAGGCGGGGCTTAGTAGTGTCGCTACAACAACAACAGTTTTTTTTGCGCAAAACTTAGCGATCATAACCCTTACAAAATAAAATTCTCCTTTCTGTGTCGCCAAAAAAAGGGCGGAAGCATAAGAGTGATATCACAGTTTTTTTTCGCAGAATTTCTTTCTACGTAGGCGGCTTTCGGCCGCGATTAGGAATCACAACCCTTACAATTCAGAATTCTCCTTGCTGTGTTGTCAAAAAAGGGGCGGAAGCCTAAAGCTGGGATCCCACGATTGCCGCAATACACCAATTATTGCCTCATTTTATGCCCCAATCGTGTGATTTCACAATACATTGACTCATGCGGCAATAGAGGCCGATATTGTGCTTACTGTGCCCAATCAAATACGGCCCGTGTGCGGCAATCGTGTGATAGCTCGATTGGCAATCATGGGGCAATGAAAATTTCAAAATTGCGGCAATATTTATTGTATTCTTGTGCGGCAATTGAAGTGAACAATACACATCAATATTTAGGCTGTTTATTAATAATTTACTTTTTTGCTTCCTTATGTGTCCAAAAATCACTGAAATTAATATCCTTGTTTTCGGAAGCAACATAACTTTTAATTTAATTTGTAGTGAAATTATAATTTTTCTTGAAGTCCGATAACGGAATCTTTGCCGCGATATATACCACCACAAGCAAAATTCATACGAGAAGAATACGAAAGGTATTTTATGTCACCAAATGGCGGACTGCCATGACAGTATAAATTTATTAAAAAAAAAACTAAAAAGTTCAATACAGCCCACGACAAAGCAGTAGAACCTCAACATTTTGACCAGTCTTGACTATTTTTCTTCTACTTATTTAATCTTCATTATTTTCGTATAAAAGTATAGCTCATTGTCTAACAAAAACTGCATAAATCCAAATTGCAAGCTTTATACAAAAATTATAAAAATTTCTTAAACATTTGAACACAATCCCACGGTTTATAATTTGGATTTCTAAAAAAAAATGGCTATTTAGTTTTGTAGCTCATTAAAATTTAGTACAATAAGGTGGAGGTTTGAAGTTGCTAAAAGATCCTGTTGATTTTTTATAATTTTTTTAGCTGACGGTATTATGCACTTTCTTCTCTGTAAATTACTTTGTAAACTGCAAAACAAAATTTTTTCTAGAAACCCAAATTAAAAACCATTGAATTGTGATCAAAATTTTAAGAAATGTTTATAATTTTTGTATAAAGTTTGGAATTTGGACTTATGAGGTTTTTACTAGACAATGAGCTATGGTTTTATAGGAAAAAATTAACATTAAACAACAGAAGAAAAAAGTCAAGACTGATCAAAATGTTAAGGTGCTATCTTTTGTTGCGAGCTGTACATATAATTATAAAATTTAATTCCAAACATAAATTATGTAAATTCGCAGCTTTCATTTAAACAAACATAACTCTTTTGTACCAATTTTACTTGTAATGAATAAAAAAACCTCTACGTAACAAAATTAAAAAGAAAACTGTTGCAACTTGAACTCCACATAGCACGTTGCAGTTATCGTCGAAAAATAAAAAAACTATACAATCAAACTTCTAAATAAATGCGTGAGTTTTCGTTGGGCACAAGTTTTTGCTTCTTTGCTTTCAAACAACAACAAATTTGCACAAAATGAGCCCGCAATATACAAAGCAGATGCAATTGATTTATTTTTTTTATTAAGAATACGCAATTTTTACATTTGCGGCAATCGTGGGATCTCAGCTTAAGAGTGATATCACAGTTTTTTGCGCGGAGCTTCTTTCGGCCGCCCTTAGGGATCATAACCCTTACAAAGTAGAATTCTCCTTCTGTGTTGCCAAAAAAAAGGAGCGGAGGCGTAAGAGTGATTTCATAGTTTCTTTTGTGCAGAATTTCATTCCACTTCCAGCGCAAACAGTACACTTTCCAAAAAATTCCGTTCAGATTACCACTCGCATTTATATTTTTTCTTATCACTGAGTTCTTAAAATATCAAATTAAAGGTAAGAACTTGCATTTTCTAAATATAATAAATTTCTTTAGCATTGATTATGCAATTTTTTCCAAAAAAGATTATTTTTGGCTTAAATATATAAACAAGCATATATATTTTATATATCAACTGAAAGATAAATTATCTTTATTTTGGCATCATTACCTAATATTTTAAGATATCGAACAAATTTTATTTTAACCTCTTAATTCTTCTTTACTTTTAAATTACGCCAAATAATATTTATATAATTGAAATAAAGTAAAAAGTAATATCGATCTGCATTTTTAGTTTTTCCGAAGCTGAACGGTTTGTTATCTAGATGTATGCCTTTTTCTTTTATAACTTACTTGTGAAGACCTCAGGTGCAAATTGGTTTAACGCCTGTGCCAGAGCGACTCCATCGGAGAGTTCTTCTACATTATCAATTAACAATGGATATCATTAATGATAGATAAGAGCGTGTCAGACGTGGCAATAATTCTAAGTGTTCTACGCAATCCGCTGTCATTTTTTTTTTTGTATTTAAGTTCCTCTAGAAATATTTAAACAAGGAGAATTATTTGGCCCAGCTAGAAGTTATAGCGCCTAAAATGTATTTAATACAGCTTGATAGCGCATTTAACAAAATTCAAAAAGAGAAATTTTATTTCGATGCGTCAACAGCCAGAATGACCCACAGTATAGAGTAAACCAGCCATTGACAATATGCTTATTTTGAAAATTCCCAAAAAGCATTTCAGTCAATGTTTTTAAAAATAACTTAAAGTAAGTTTGCAATAATAAGCATTATTAATATTAAGTTTATTTAAAACTTTTTCAAATAATCCTTTAATAAGTGTTAAGCTCTGAACACATTGAAAACGACGAGCTATGGGCACAGCTTCCAATTTGTTATCTTCATTAGTGAAGTCCGCGGAGAACAAATTGCACATAACGTTAATTCCAATCCAGGACCCGCTGCTCTAATCTGTGGAACATTCGAGCCTTCAAATGATGAGTTCTCTTATCATTGCTTACTTCATATTCAATTAAACATTTATTAAACTTTTTTCAGAAACCTTCATCCATGAGAATGGCGGCGATGAAAAGGAATATATATGGGTGTTTCCGGAAAAGTGTCAACCAAGACCAAAAAAATAGAATTTTGCCTGGACAAAGTTTATAGATGCCGATCGATAACTATATATTTTGTCTTTCATCCACCAAAATATAGTACTAATTGGTCCATTCCATTTCAAGATATGTGCGGATTTCCAACTACACTTTCAATTTTTCTTTTTTTCGGAGAAACCATACCTTTCAGAAATCCTTCATAATTGTAGCACACGATTAAAAAGCACTGGAAATCTATACAAAAATTTAGTACAGCTTATGTTCTGTAAGCCTTACAACAAAAACAAAGTAAAAATATATTAGGAACGGTCTAAAGTTAAATTACAAATTGTGCTTTTTTTTCAAGCGTTCGGACGCAAAATATACTTTACATGTAAAAAAAAGAGTCGTAACGTTTACTTTATTTGTCAAAATTTTAATACAATAAAATAAAATAAAATTTTTTCGGAAAGCTATAGGATTATCGATTGTTAGTATAACGTCCGAACGCTTCAAATAACTTTTGTTCATTTTGTTCTACTCACAAAATTGAGTATACGGTTTTTTTTGTTAGTACATATTTGCAAAATTTTTTTGTTAATTTGGTATTGAAATATGGCTTATATTTTAGCAAACCCCATTTAAATCCAAGTATGAAACTGTTTACGAAAATTATGAAAAATCTGCAAAAGTTTCAGCAAAATTGCAAACTTTTTAAAACGAATTTCTAGAAAAAATCAGGTATGTATACGGTGACCATCCGTTCTGTTTTTTGCAGGACCGTAGTGTTATTTAAAGGTCTGTCTTGCGTAGTTTTACAAAACAGAAAACCCCCAAAATGTACTGATTTTTTCCAAGTGTCCTGCCTTTGTCCCGCATTTTCTTCGATCCTTAAAAAAAAACTTTTCCTAATCGAAATAAAAGCAGTGTCGATAACTACATAAGGGTAAGCTGGTTTTGAAGGTTCAACTAGTCAATGCGTTCTAAATATTGTACGGTTATGGAGAATGGATGACGAGAAATTGAAGACCAGCATCAAATATATCGATAACACTGTTCTACAAATTTTGTGGTAATCGCTTAAGAAAAAAATATTCTCGAAGCCAATTTTCCTTTCAAACAAGCGTTTTCGTAATTTTTTCGAAAAACATGTTTTTGGTACATTTCGAACCTATTCGTCAATATCTCATGAAAATATTATCCAATCAACATAAGCGACCTACAGTCCTCTTACAAAAATATATTACTTTGCCGATTTCGATGAAAATTATTAGTCTTACAAGCGACCAAAATCGAAAAATTAAAATTTCAATCATTTTCTTTTTACAGTAAATGAAAATCTGATGAGAAATGTAGATGTTACGTAACACAATCTGCACAAAAAATATATATTTTTGCAAAGAGCCCATCAATACCATTCGAACTGTTGGTCGTTTCATGAGATATTGAGGAATAACTGAAAAAGTACTAAAAATATGTTTTTCGAACAAATCTCGAAAACACTTCTTTCATGGGTATTTTTTTCGTGTTCAACGACCCAATGTTTGCCTAAAAAATTTGATTTACAGAGGTTCATATTTCGTGTAAAGTAATATGTAATATGCCTTATTATAATTTTGTAAATATTCATTACTAAAAGATTAATACCAATGAAGCAAATTTGATTTATGTTTAAAGTTTAAAATTGGATTAATAATTAAGAAATATACACTCTTCGTTATTTGAATAGCGCATCCTTTTAATACTTAGTAGGTACAGTTTTTCTTTTGTTTGCTTAATATTCATTAACTTTTTATAAAAATATAGCATATTCTACGTCTACATCCCATTTTAAAAGTTTTTGAAAATTAAAAAAAAATTAAACATAGGGGCGACATTTTTTTTTTTGTTGACGGTGCTGCGCATTTTCTTCCATATAAAAATTTTGTCAAGCATACTTTATATGGTTGAAAATCAAAAAAAGGGTGCGCTATTCAAATGACGAGGAATGTATATATGCAGTATATTTTTGTTATTTTTATACTACGCAATTATATGTAGGTAAATTTGTTGAAAAATTGTCCTGCATTTTCAAAATATATTTGTGGTCACCGTAGGTATGTATGTAGTTTTATAGCCCATTCAGTTTTAATATAATAATGTGCAAATTTCAAATGCCTAAAAATTCGCGATGATTTTTGAGAATTATTTATACATTTGAAATTTGCACATTGTTGTACTAAAACTGAATGGACTATAAAACTGATTTTTTTAGAAATTCTTGTTAAAAAGTTTGCTTTGCAGATTTTTCATAATTTTCGTACACAGCCTCATATTTGGATTTAAATGGGGTTTGCTAAAATATAAGCCATATCTCAAACCAAAGCAAAATAAAAACAAACGTTAGCATGTTAAACATTGCGAATATTAACAAAAACAAACCGTGTACTCAATTTGGTGAGTAACAGTATATAGATATAGTACATATCGACGCCTCCAAACCATACTATGCTATGTCAGTTTAGAGATAGTCAGACTTAGCATAGTATGGTTTGGAGGCGTCAATATGTACGTCTGCTTGTACGAAGAAATGACTTCAACGAACGTTAATAAAGGCCTTCATTTAGATGTAAATTTATTAACAAGAAAACCCCATACTTGCATTAAAAAACGAGTGTGTTTAAATTTTTAAACAAAAAATTTTATCCATTGGAAAAAATCGGAACGTCCGAACAACTTCGAACAGTTTTTGGCAGCTATTAAACATCGTTAGGAAGTTTAAGTTGACGCAGTACACTTACAACATAGCATTTGTGGAAAATATTTTTATTGATTTCAGATAGGTATTGATGATGACTACTCACATTTTGTTTTTGTTGTTGGCCTTTGAATTTTAACCTATGAATCATTTTTAACAAGCTCGTGGCCCAGCAATTAAATAAAACGCAAAACTTCGTTCTATTCATATTTTAATTTTCGATATTTGGACCTCAATCTGAGGTCATCTTCAGGACAGTAAATATACAAACACGATAACTTATTATTAACTTTATACTATTACAAACATACATTAAACACAACTTACACTCTTGATTGTGCCTGGTGGACTGATTAGGCGTACAGAAATAAAAGTTAAACAAGTGAAATTTTAGGCAAATGAATATAAACACGAGAAGTAAACAATTAAAAATACCGTAATTGTAAACAAAAAACATACAAACAACAATACACGGAACATTTAGGAGTAAGACAATATGTATAATGTACAAACATATGTACATATAAAAGCACATTATTCTATTGATATTCTATTAAGGTATGTTGGGGAAACGGAACGAATCTTGATTATGGAAGGTGGAACGGAACACCTACGTTGAGGATTGTTGTTGCCGATTTAACAAAAAATTGCGATACACATGTGCACAATTGTCTGTGTCCGTTTTAAAGTTGATCCTTCTCTCATTAGGGGTGTTCGTAATGTGTAACATTTCCAAAATATAGCGTTTATTATAGTTCTCTTATTCTTGTAGAATGACAACATCATCGAAATCGGGATAGTGTCCCGTATCCCTACAGTGTGCTGACAAGGCCGTCTTATTGTCAGTTGAGCTGTTCCTTAACTTTATATTTGATTTGTGTGCGGAAATCAGTGTTGCCAAACATGGGCTTTTCCTACCAAAACTGGTAGGTTTTTTTCCATTTGGTAGGTTGGTAGGATAGATTGGATTTTGGTAGGTTCCGCGACAATAATAGTTATTTGCGAAAAATATAAAATATGTATCTTCAATCACTTTAGCAACTTTGTTTACACGAATATTTCACCGGTGAAGTCCACCATTGTCCACCTGACAGAGACTTTATTGTAAAACTTGAGGAATATCACCAGAACTAACCTTTTTATCTTTCAATATGGTAGTAAGACCCGTTGTCACATATGCGGCACTGGCCTGGTGACCAAATGCTACGCAAGTAAAGGAGGTTTTCTACATTAGCAAGCTGCACCGACTGCTCCGCGTGGCCATTACAGGAGCTATGGGCACCTGTCCAACGGATGTCATTGGTGTCACTAGAGGCGGTTTTCTTTTGTCTATCCTGTTTGAAAGAGGCCTGCAGGAGCGCCCTACGACTGCCTAGTATGATCAGCAAGAAAATTTGGGATCTTCGAGGTCATTTGGAGCAGGGTTGTTGCGAATATTCGCATTTGCATTCGCAACCGCGGAACTTCCGCATTAACTTTAACATTCGCATTCGCTTTCGCATTCGCAATAATCAATGCGGATCTTTTGCGAATGCGAATATTGAAGGGACCGAAAGTAACAGTTATTTTCTTTACGAGTTAAACTTGGCCAAATATTTTTTATTCCCAA